AAAGTCAAATCTCTCTTGGATTTTATTTGCTCATTTATAAAATGAGGATTTTTTAAAATATTTATTTATTTGAGAGAGAGAGAGATCATGAGCAGGGGAGAGTGGCAGAGGGAGAAGCAGACTCCCCACTGAGCAGGAAGCCCAATGCAGGACTCGGATCCCAGGACCCTAGGATCATGACCTGAGCCAAGGACAGACACTTTAACTGACTGACCCACCCAGGCACCCTAAAATGAGGATTAATAATACCTACCTTATCTGGCTATTGTGAAAATGTCTAACATGTAACAGGTACTTAAATACTTTTCAAAAAATGTCTTCAAGGAATTACCTAAACTTTGTTTGCACATATTCAGGGTATTTGTTCGCACATATTCAGGGTATTTGTTCATACACTTGTTCATTCACTCATTGATTCAGTAGATATAATGAACCTTCTCTGCACCTGGGTCTGTAGTAGATAAGTTGGGGGGGGTGGCACAAGGTGACACAAACATAATCCCTGCCCCCATTGGGCTCGCAGTTTGGAAGAAGAAACAAAAGATAGTCAAGAGTATCTCCAATTCAAGAGAATGAAAGTATATATTATGTAGTTACCTATAAATTTGACTTCCATAAAATTGGATTTTCTAGAATGATCCTAATGTCAAATATTGTGTCTCATTGTTACCATAAAGAGTTCCATTCATGTCAGAACATGGGTCCTGACTTTGAGCTCAAACAGAGATTTCATCTCAAAAATAAGTAACAGAATAGAAGAGCACCAAGGAGACAGAGACCCAGAGCAGAGACCCGGGATTTCATACTCAATGACTCCAAACTGGCAATCATAGTATGAGAACCTGGCATCTGGAGGTCACCTTGTCTATTTCTCTGTCTTTAGGCAGATGATTTGGGTCCTGAAACCACTAACAAGAAAATGCATCAGCCCTGCCTTCCTGGTGCTTCTAGCCTAATTAGGGACACAAACATAAACACTAGTGGCCTGTTAAAAATATGTGTAACTTCCAACATTCTCACTTCGCTGAACTTTGCACACCCCTGCCTGCTCTCTGAGGCCTTGACTTTGGCAAATTCCCATCCCTTCTTCAAAGTTCAGAGCAACTTGAGAACTCCTAGAGGCAAAGATTGGGTCTCATGACAATATCAAACGTTGAAAAATGCATGCAATTAACATTAAGATACTAGTAACTCTTAACTTTTTGGTGTTTCTTTTTAAAACTGTCAATCCTTTCCCTAGAATATCGGTATTTTAACTTTATCGGAAATGTGTGCTTCCTCCAAGTCCCTAACTTTGGGGATAAATCCCAATTAGTGATGCTTTAAAATCATATAATGATATTTATAGCAGCATTATTCACAATAGCCAAGATATGGAAGCAGCTCGCACGTCCACTGATGGATAGATGGATAAAGAAGATGTGGTGTATATTTATACAATGGAATATTACTCAGCCATAAAAAAGAATGAAATCTTGCCGTTTGCAACAACATGGATGGAGTTAGAGAGTATAATGCCAAGTGAAATAAGTCAGTTGGAGAAAGACAAATACCATATGACATCACTTATATGTAGAATTTAAGAAACAAAACAAACAAGCAAAGGGGAAAAAGAGAGAGAGACAAACCAAGAAACAGACTCTTATCTATAGAGAACAAGAGGGCAGGCAGGTGGGGGGAAGGGGACTAAGGAGGGCACTTGTCATGAGGAGCACCGGGTGATATATGGAAGTGTTGAATCACTATGTTGTACACCTGACACTAATACGTTAACTAACTGGAATTAGAATAGAAACTTAAAAAGTAAAAAAACAAAGAACACCGAACAACGTATAATGAGTGAGCTGGCAGAGACCATCCTGAGTGAAGTATAACCCTCTCGTTTTACAAAGAAGAGCATGGAGCCCAGGGAGGGGAAGTGACTGTCTCAAGATGATATAGACGTTAGAGGCCTGTCCCCTGGTCCCTAGCCAGGCAGGGCTCCTGCATCTTTACTAAGGTTTTTCTTTAGTAAATACCCACCTACTGATAGACTGTTACCATTAGAAGTGTTCTCTAAAAAATCAGCTCAAAAATTACCCAGCATAGTTGCTACTCACTGAAGAGTCTCACCAATGTTTTAGCTTCTAAGGAACGCCAGGATTCTTTGAGGATTGAGTGGCCTTTGAGTCACCAGCCACACTATTTTCATCAACAGGCTGGATCAAGGTGTTGACCTTTCAGGATCTTTCTCTTAAGTTTTGAATCTCACTTTTTTGAATGAAAGAGACTTCCTGGAAGCAGAATGGCCAAATGGGAAGACCAGGGCCCCAGGGCCAATTCACCTGGATTGTAGTCTGGGCCCTATGGAGTACCAGGTAGGTGACCTTGAAGGAATGGCTTACCTTCTCTGGCCTTCAGTGCTCCCACTTGAAAAATGGAATCCACCTGTGTGCCTAGATGGTTGTAAGAACTATATCATATGAGATTGGAATGGAAAATTCTTGGGAAAGAATGAAATATTCAATCAACAACTAATTCCTCAATGTCTACCATAGTCCAGACTCTTTGTCAAGCACAAGAATACAAACATGAATAAGACATCATCCACACCCTTGAGGAATTCATGGTTCAGTGGGGAAGACAGACTCAATAATTACTATATCTTGTTCTGTAGTCACTCTGATGGGCAGGGTGGGGGCAGGGGGAGCAGTGGATGCTGTGGGAGCAGAGGGAAAGCACCTATCCCACATTTGCAGAGAGTAAGTCAGCAAGCCTTCCTGGAGGAGGTGATATTTAGATTTAGACAATTTCAACAATACCACAATCCCCACCACTGCCACTGTCATCACTGGCTGCCATTTATTCAATATTCCTTCTGTTCTGAGGATTCTGCTGGGCCATTAGTAGTTCATGTTCACAATACAGAAAGTCAAGGTTGTTATCCTCATTATACATATGATAAAACAGAAGCCCAGAGGGTTTTGGTTTTTTTTAAAGATTTTGTTTATTTATTTGACAGAGAGAGACACACAGAGAGAGGGAACACAAGCAGAGGGAGTGGGAGAGGGAGAAGCAGGCTCCCCATGGAGCAATGAGCCTGATGCGGGGCTCGATCCCAGGACCCCGGGACCATGACCTGAGCCGAAGGCAGATGCTTAATGACTGAGCCACCCAGGTGCCCCCAAAGGAGTTTTTAAAAAAAGAAATTTAAAAAGGTCACCAATCAAAACTTAAACCTAACTGTGACTTCCAAAGCTCCTGGTCTTCACAACATAGCCTTATGGTTCTGTGTGACTCTATGAGGCAAAGATGAGACTAGTGCAGGAAGTCACTGGGAAGACAAATTTCAGCTAAAGAGAAGGAAGAGTTTTCTAGCAGAGCTGTCCAAGAATGAGATAAGCTGCCTGGGGAGGTGGTGAGTACCAGATCATAGAAGTATGATGGAGCAAGCTGGTGACTTGGCTAAGGCATTGCTTAGGGCATTCTTAATTGAAGGCGGAGGAGAGGTAGGTAAGCTAACCATCTCTAAAGTTACGGTCATTTGTGATTAAGTCCTGTTGTTAACAATAGCGTTCCATTCCAAATTTTTAGATGCTCAGTAGAAGCTCAAAGAGCTCTGTGGGCATAGCACCCAGACCAATGGTTCCATCTGCATGGTGACCAGCCACTGGGGTTTAATATAAATTAGCCTACAGAGCTATATGGTTAGTGATGCTTTCTGTTAAAGAAACAAGGACTAACTCCAGCCACTGAAGCAAAAAGGGAATTTATAGGAAGGGCCATATTTGGAAAACAAACAATTAACAGAATAGCTATGGAGGGCAAATTGGCTGTTGGCAGGGATAACTACCCCTGCTCAATGGTAGCACGGCTGTACACCTGACTCCCAACCTCATATCACCTAGTCCAACTTTAAGGCCTGGAGGGAAGTGACTATTGCCTGAGTCTGGTTTTCTGTTGCTGTGGCTGGCAGATCACAAAGAGGGAGCATCTGGCCCATCTGTCTTCTGTGGTGAGAGAAAAGGCACCCCCATAGTCTCATCATCTGTAATGATGGAGGAGTAAACTCTCCCCAACACTGTCCCCTCTAATCACAGGGTTAGATGTTGGGCATTCTCCAAAGAAAATGGGTAAATGCCTACTACATTAGGAGGGATCAGACAGTGGTTATGAACTCTGATCTGCCTGACTCCCAGACTGGAGGAAAAGATAAGAGGCCAGGATGCACCTAGTGTGTTGGAGGAACAATGAGGAGTCCAGCATCTGGCACAGAAGAAGCGAGAGGGATGGTGGTAGGAGCTGAGGTCAGAGAAGTTAGCAGGGAAGGACCACATGGGGACTTGTAGCTTGTAAGGGGTTTTACTCTGCATCTAACAGGGACTATGTGAGCGTAAAAAGGACATCATCTGACTTGTGTTTTAGAGGATCACCCCGGATGCTATGTGGAAAATGGGGGTGGGGAAGAAGATGGGATGAGAGGTGGGCTGGGAGGATACCAGGGTGGATATAAACCAGGTAAGAGACTGTTAAAATACTCAGGACCTTCATCTGAGCTCAAGGTGATATCAGTGGAGCTGATAAAAGGGTGCTGGGTTCTGAATACATTTTGAAGGTAGAGACAATGGATTAGCTGTGGGTGCGAGACAGAGGGGAATAATATGGACACCAGTGGCTTCAGCCTGAGCACTTTTTTCTACTGACCCGTATGAGAGATATACATGTGTATGTGGTCTCAGAGCATGGATACTGAAGTCAGACTCCTCCACAGAAACATTTGAACCTCTCTGTGATTCAACTTCTTCTTATATAAAATAGGAATTGTAACAGTAGTGACTTCATAGGGTTTTGTTGAAAGCATTGAGTGAATTAATATATGTAAAATGTTTAGAACTGTTTCTGGCAAAAAATAAATGCTAGGTAGGTAAGACAGGGACTGCTCTTACTCCTAGCTGTATTTTGATAAGTGACAAGTTTGGCTTGTCCTGTTCATACTGACTCTGACTCCGGGTACTACCTAGGTGCTCTCTGATGGGGTTTGACCTGAACCGTCACTGGCTGGATCCCTCTCCGTGGGCCCACCCTACCCTGCACGGAGTGAAACAGCTCATCATCCAGATGTACAATGACCCAGTGAGTAACCAAACCCCTTCAGCACCTGCTGGTTTTATGGCTTAATCTGGGAAAGGGCAATATTGTACTGGGAAATTCCAGTAGAAGCTACAAATTAGGAGTGCAGGGTCAAAACCAGGATGGATATATGAGGCCTGCTGGTCTTATGTTTAAATTGGATAGACCCAAATACCTTCCCCCACCTCTCACAAATATCTTGTTCAGTTGGGTTCAGGAGGTCTTGTGGGATAAAGGAAATACAGTGAAGCAGATTCACAGGGTTCTTTGGCTATAAGCAAGAGAAATACAATTTGAACTAGTTTAAGCAAAATAGAGAATTTATTACGAGAGTACCAGTGTATCTCATATAACTAAAGACTGTAGACTGGCCTCCTCCACCTGTAGGAGACATGGTGCCAAGTGTCACATCTGTTGGCTCCATCCCTGGAGAGTGATACACTCTCATTTTCTAGTTCCAGTTCCAAAAGACTGTGACTGGCCTAGCCTGGGGGATATGCCACCTCTGGGCAAGTCAACTCTGGCCCCATAGGCAAGGATTTGTAAGGACAGGACAGCACACTGGAACCACATGGCTGGACTTGTGGGCTGTGGTGGTCGTGGTGAACCTATTCCCAGAGAAGAGGGCCTGCTAGTCCAGAAAGAAGGGGAACAATGGTTTTCCATACTGCGTTTGCTCATAGGGGCAAGACTTTGTAAGAAATAGGAGACGACATGGGGGTTCCATAGGTTAGAGAAAGGAAGCAGACCACTATCATTCTATCCCTAAAGAGCCATCAGGGAGGACAGGACAGACATCTCCTGGGTGGAGGCCAAAGGAGGAGGTAAGGTCTATAGAGAAACAGAACTTTTTAACAATTAGCTCTGCCTAAAATGGAGTGGATGTAGGAGCTATGAACTTTGCCTTACTAAAAGTGTTCACCTTCAAGCTAAATGACACTATCAAAATGGTGCATAGAAGAGATTCTATTGTTTGGAAGACACTGGAGTGAGATGACATCGGAGTCTCTTCTAACTTTTATGACTGTTATTTCATGGCCCCTTGACTGCCATAGCCCCGACATTTTTTCTGATCTAGCTGATAATAAATATTCACTAAACCATTGGTTGAACTGGATTGGATTGAACATGGCAAATCCTGTTATGCCAACTGTAATACGGTTTATAGACAGAAAACAGTTATTCATAGAGAGGACAATGAGGCATGATTAAACCAAAAAAAAGACACAGGATAGGAGAAGTGATAGAGTGGGAGTCCCTGAAAAAAAAGGGTGTTTTGGATGAATCCCTGAGGACAGAGCTGGGGGGTGAGGCATGGAGGAGGACCCAAGGGGAAGGGTTAGGTTTTCTAAAGAGAAGAGGCTTCAGCCTGCCATTGCTATCATCACTGAGAAGTCATTGATTCGCTCACAAACAACTGGGCACTCCTCCATGCTACAGAAACAAAGATCAGCCAAGACTGAGGGACAGAGAGATTTAGACACTTTTTGTGCCATGAATAGGTTGCTCATCAGCTGGTTGGATTTTAGTAAACACACTTGGATGCTGAGCTTGTTGCCTAAACTGTCTTCTTCCTGAAAGTCCACTCCTTTAAGACCCAAGCACATGGAGCACTAACATGGGAGTCAAGCTGACCACGGGAGTCAAGGATCTCAGCTCCCTCCATCTCTTCTCCCTTCTCCACTCCCCCTCTCCTTGCCCAGGCTTTTACTCCAGTCTTGCCTTCCTTCTTTCCACAAGTATTTATCAAGTAGTTTCTATATACTAGGCATTGAGATTTTTTTCCTACTAGTGAACAAAACCCTAACCCTTGCAATTTGTGGGGGAATAGACATTGAATAAGTAAATACTGATAAATATAGATTTACAAATTGTGTGTAGAGTTACGGGGGGCGGGGGGGCAAGGAAGCACACAAACTGTGACCTGTGGGTAGGATGGTTGTAAGTTTTGGCTTGCCTGGGGCAGTTCCCATTTATACCTGTTGTCCTAGAGTGTTTATTAATAGTGCCCCCTTTCACTCTTAGAAGTGTCCCAGTTTAGATGATAAATTATTCCGTAGCTCTACTTAAAAGCTATGGGAAAGCACCTAGCACAGTACCTGGCATGTAGCAGATCCTCAACAAACATTATTGGGATTGGATTCAAAGTCACATTTGACCATAAGAGTCATTGTGTCCAGTTGCAGACACTACAGTACCCAAGGGCATCTGCCCTAATATCCTGACATGCCTTCTCCTCCTGACCTCTGCTGTTGTGTACGTCATCACAATCACTCAAGCCAGAGCTATGTGAACTGCCAGGACAGCCTCTGGCCTCGTTTCTAAATGCTCACAGCCTCACTCCTCCATCCCAGTGGCCTTCTGCTTGACAGAGTCAGCAAGCAGAGAATCAGCAGACCCTCACTGGTGGACAGGGACTATGTCCTTGAGCATTGTTGTTCCTCACCGAACTCCTTCGGGTTCTGTGCTGGATGCTGGGAGTCATCAGGGCTGCTGTCCACCCCTAAGGAGGTCACAGCCTGGTGGAGACAGGCTTTTACAGGCAGTTATCCCTGGTGCATTTGTGGAGGAAGGCACAGGGGCTCTGGGAGCCCATAGAAGGGACCCAGCCCAGGATGCCATACCTGAGCTGATGCATAAAAGATTCCCAGGGCAGGGAGGGCTTTCCAGGCAGAGGAGACCTCTGTGCACCTGCCTTGAGAGGGAGGCACCCTCAGGAGACTGCCAAGTCATTCAGTGTGGCCGGTACTAGGGGCAGACAGAGGGGCAGAGGGGGTTATGATACAGGGTGAAATTTGGACTTTATTCTCATGGCAATGGGGAGCATGGAAGGATTTTAAGCTGGGAAGTGACAGGATCAGGTTTGCATTTCAGGAAGATCCCTCTGGTTTCTGTAAGGGGGTGGATTTGGAGGGTGCCCGGCTAGAGGCTGGAGACCAGTAGAGCCTGCTGCTGTAGGGTTGGAGAGGCATTATGGAGAGAGATATGGGCAGCTTAGTGACTGGCTGATGGGACAGGAGGGAGTTTTGAATGATACCCATGGTTTGGTCTGGACAGTGGACTAGATGTGGTTGCCCTTCCTGAGATGGGAAATCAGGAGCCTGGGAACAAGCTTAGACATGCTGACTTTGAAGTTGAGCAAAAGTGATATGTCCAACCTGCACTGTGAGTTCCGGGCATGAGCCCTTCTGTGTTCTCACCTGGCAACAGGAGCCTGCTGTCCTGTGTTAATGATGGCATTTACTTCAAAGGCTGCTTTCTAGAGCCTTTGCTCACTAAACCTTGCCACCTCTCTGGGCCTTGGAAACAGAATGATGATCTTGACCAGGGACTGTTCTACCCAGAGGACTACACTGGATCTTAGATATAAAGTGTTTATGCCCCACTCCTGGGACAGCTCCCTGTGGACAGAGTGGCCTTTGTTTACCAGTTGTGATGGACTGTCCCTAGGCAGGGTCTGGCTGATGCATCTCAGAGTCCCCTGTGCCCAGCAGGGACCTGGCTTTGAGCAGGTGCTCAGAATAAAGGCTAAGCAAATGATGACGTAAACCAAAGTCTCTGTGAGTTGGTTTTAATGAGATTTCCCTGATGAAGAGGAGCAACCAGACCACATACTTCTCCCCAATTTCAGCTCTCCCTCAGAGTGTCCCAGATGCTGGTGCCACCATTACTGTGCCCTCTTTTACTTCAGGCTCTGGTCTGTGGACACAAACCCTCTCTTGGGTTCCCCTGCAGCCTGCTGAGATTGTCCTCCACACCCAGGGACAGAACCTGAGATGGCATCACCCACTCTGGTTCCCCTGACACAGGTTTCTGGTCATCTTCACTAATGTGCCCCATTCCTGGCCTCAGTGCCCACCCCGTTCTACCCACCATTGAGCTTAGCCTTCTCTGGCCACCAGGAGCTCCCTCAGATCCCTGGGTTCCTGACTTCCCACTATCCAAGCACGTTTTGTTCAGGAGCTGCTCTTAGACATTCCATTACCTCCAGTGGTGAAGACCAGGGAAGCTGGTTCCAACTCTGCTCCACATCCAGGCTTCTCCTTCCCATTCTGATCTTAGGGCTGAATATTCTACCTCTTCCCCAGGTAATTAGCCCCCAAAATGATAGCACCTTTCAGGTGAGAATTCACGCCCTACCCATGGGAGTTTGGCTTTATCCTGGCACACACACCATAGAGTATGATGGTGACTTCACATCACACCATCAGCCACACAACCAGAGTCACTCGCACACAAGAGCACACATGGGGCTTTCCTCTCTCATCTATGTCCAGTTACAACCTTAAAAAGTTAAGCCCATTTATGGATGGGCTTCCTAGGACCACCCATCTGTTAAGTCTTCTAGCACCTAACTATCTGCCTGAGAGGCACACCCAGAGAAGTATTTGGCAGAGATAAAAAAGCGGGTGTTGCTTTAAAATGCTCAGTTAATTGAATGAAGCACACATTTCTCAATGCCCATTTGCAAGACCCTCCATAACCTCCAGAATTATAGAGATTAATGGGGCAGGATCTCAGGCTAGGAAGAACTCACAATCCAATAGGAAGGCCAGACCTTTATGAAGAATTTTCAACCAAGGCAGCCAGGAAGGTGTGCTGTAGTAGAGAAAATGTAATGCTTTGGAAATACAGGGCTGGGAGAGATTAATCCAGTGTGTGTGTGTGTGTGTGTGTGTGTGTGTGTGTGTGTGTGTGTGTGTGTGTGT